CGACAGGGTTTCTCTGTGTAGTTTTGGTGCCTGTCCTGGATCTCGCTCTATAGACCAAGCTGGCCTTGAACTCACAGAGATCCACCTGCCTCTGCCTCCTTTATGCTGGGATTAAAGGCGTGCACCACCCCTGCCCAGCAAGATTTCTTTTTTCATTTGACTGGTTCTTGAACCTGAACTTTGCAGATGATGATGTCGTATCTCAGTGTCAGAAGAATAGATACACCTGACTTAGTGGAACTTAGAGCCCTAAACATCTGTACTTGAAAAAAGGGAAAAGGATCTCAGTTAGTCTAAACATACACTTCAAGAAACTAAAGAACAAACAACCCCAAACAAGCAGAAAGAAGAATATAGATTCAAATTCATAGAAATTCAAAGGGACTTATAACAAGCCAGAAAAATGACTAATTTTAAAACCTCCCAAAGGCCACATGACTTCACCTGTGACTCTTCTTGAATATTTAAAAATAATAATAGTACTTCACATAAGAACAAAGGAGGCAATCTTTTAAAAAAGGAATTGACTTTATGCGTGTCACACACACACACACACACACACACACACACACACACACACACACACACACACACACACACCCTTAACGTGTACTGACAGAACTTCAAGGAGAAATAAGTGGGTCTGCTGTGACAGAGATGTCAGTCCTCTGGTGAGGACAGCTCCAGCAGGCAGAGATGCCGGGCAAGCGTGTACTTACACCAAACAGCACTGTTCGGCACAGGAGCTCACTGACGTCTGCAGAATACTGCGCAGACAACGCAAGCGTGTACTTACACCAAACAGCACTGTTCAGCACAGGAGCTCACCGACATCTACAGAATACTGTGCAGACAACGCAAGAATGCACGTTCTAGTCAAGCACATGTGGAGCATGCGCAGGAAACAGCACTGTGAGGCGTAAAACACACCTGAACAAATTCCACCTACTAGAAATCATCCAGAGCACGTCCACAGATCACATCTTGAACTAGAAATCAGGTCGGGGTAAGGGGGTGACTTAGTGGGTAAGAGTGCTTCTGTGCAAGCCACCTGACTTTGAATCCCCAGTACTCACACAAAAGCTGGGCCTGGCCCTGTGTACCTTTAACCCCTGGGGTTGGAGGGGAGCCAAGATAGACAAGTCCTGAGAACGCACTGGCTAGCAAGCCTAGCTGAAATGGTAAGCCTCGGGTTCAAAACATAAAAGTGGAGAAAGACAGAGGAAGATATCCATTGTCCTCCACTGGCCTCTGCATACATCCGTATAGATACATGGGCCCACATACACGTGTGCGTATACACACACACACACACACACACAAACCAGTAACAGAAAGATGTGAGAAAAATCCAAGAGCATTTGGCAATTTAAAAAAAGCTTCTAAATAACGTGAGTTGAATATGTATGTTCATTTGAAAGCATGCACATGGATGTTTATAGAAACTTTATTCCTAATTATCCAAAACTATAAGCAACCATAAGTAGGTGAGTGGTAAACAAGCTGTGATATATCCATACAGGCCACAAAATTGTATGACATTCTAGAAAATGGAGAATTGGAGAGACAGTCAAAAGATCACTGGTTGTCAAGATTCTGGGCTGGGAAGGGTAACTAGTAAAACAGACTGTAGAATTATTCTGTGTGATGCTGTAGTTGTGTGAACATGACATTATCATACACATTTGTCAGAACCCATAGAACCAGACAGTACAGAATGAACTGGATTTAAACTGTAGACCTTGGATAAAATAACATGTCGGTACTGGTCTATTAACTGTAACAGTGCCACACTGCCACAGTGAGGTCATATAATGGGGAAGATAGACGCCGGCGTCAGTGATTCCCACTAAGGAGCTCTGACGACCTGTGACTCTGGCACTTCCGAAGGTCTCTAGAGTGTTAGAGGCTTTGTCCGTGTGAATGGTTGACTCCAAGATCAAGATGGAGTAGTGTTTTGTTTGTTTGTTTGTTTTTGGAGCTGAGGATTGAACCCAGGGCCTTGTGCTTGCTAGGCAAGCGCTCTACCTGTGAGCTAAATCCCCAACCCCAAGATGGAATAGTTTTAAACCAACTTTCTTAGAACAGAAAACTTACAAAGATACTGCAGAGTTTCCACACACTGTACATCGCACCGTCCACCTCCAGCTTCCTCAACCTAACACGCTGCATCTGTGGAACGGAACTAGTAAACAGTGAGTCATCATTAGCTAAGCTCTGTGGCTTGTTTTTTCCATAGTTCCTTAGTTTTGCTGAATCCGTTTTCTATTCTAGGGTAGTACATTACATTTAATTTTCATATCTTCCTAGGCTAAGCTATGACAGTGTCAAAGATTTTACTTATTTTGATGATCTTGATGGTTTTGAAGGATACTATTGGGTATGTCTGTTTGGGGTGGTGTTGGTGCTGTTGTTTTAAGAGTAGAGTTAGGGCAGGCATGATTGGGCATACCTGTAATCTCAGAAACTCAGGAGCCAAGGCAGGAGATTGCCACAAGTTCAAGGCAGCCCTGAGCTGCATAACAAATTCCAACCAGCCTGGGCAACATAGAGCAAGACCCAGTCTCTAAAACCAGCAGCAACCGCGTTAGACTAGGCGTTATGCATTCAGGGGAGACTGTGGAAGTAAAGTACCATTTCATCACATGACAAGCACATCACCGTCATGGCTTACTGCTGCAGGGTCTGTGTGCCAGGTTCCTCTTCCAAGAAGTTACTCTTCTTCCTCTCATACCATCCTCTTTGAAAGGAACCACATGGGACGCTCGGTAGGTTTCACTGTCCTGGGAGCAGAGCATGCCCAAAATTATTTGAAATCCTTCTTGGGAGATCTGTCCTCCCCCGCCCCCCACTTGTTTGCTGTTCTTGTCGGTGTGG